CGAGGATTTCGATGATCAACGGGACGACAGGTGATACAGGTGATGTTCCAGTTTGCGCTTAGAGTCTGACAATTGAAATATTTGACATTAATCCCTTTTTGGGACGCGCCCCGCATACGACTTCCGGTCAGAATTGTAGTAGCGTATTCAATGCGGTGTTTGACCTTTACAAAGACTAGCGGTGGTGTTTTTATCCTCACAAACGAGTCTCAAATTAGTTAACCGACTGTTGGAGGGATGAACGGCTTGGTTGGTCTGGGCGGATTCTGGATATGATGCCCAGATCATGCGTCAGTGCTTTACTTGCCACTACATCACCTCCGCCCAGTTTTTCGCTAAGCATTCCTATTTTACGCTTAAATGAGCGTTTAATTTCAATAGTTTTCAGTGGGGTGTACAAGAAACGATAACCACTGCTCGATATATAACAACATTCAATTCTAGCTTTTTGTTGATGAAAGAAATGTTTTAGATTCTCAGCGTGCTATTCTACGATCTGTTGTACATGGACGTCTAATGAGGGCCGGACACGATGGCACTATCAAGAAAGCTTCTACACTTTTTGCTGACCATGTTCAATCGAAGCGACCTCTGCATCCAGATCTCCGTCTATGCGTAGGCTTTACCGTGTTTCATATCTTTTTCATATGAAGTTGCGCTACAATTTGATGAAGAAAGTAATCTACTCCATCTGGTTTAGCCATCCTATCAGTATATTTCAGATATTCACCGCCGCTGTGCGTAACGGTGGAGAAACGGCGTTCAACCAACTCATGCAGATCTTTGAGACTGCAGGATTCCCAGAAGTTGAGCGAAACTGCATTATAGCACTTTCACAGACACAAGATCCCAACCTTCTACAGAGGCTGTTTAAATACGCCATTCATGACGTAAGTCTATCTGAACGTTCATTTTTGTATATTCCATGCCTTCCCAGGTTGGCCCTTGCCACGGTCATNCGAGTGGACCATAGTCAAGAGATGCTGAAAGCTATGATTCCTGACATTTCCAATGGAAAAATGCCTCTTCTTGATCGCTTCTCCATTGTTAATGACCTGTTTGCATTGGTGAGTTTGAATAATCGGATTTATTATAACATGATTGCCTATTTTTTCCAATATTAATGATTAATATATGAATTTATCCAGGTTCAAGCTGGGCGCGCTCGAGCGTCTTCCTTCCTTTCAGTTTTGGGAGCTATGCATAACGAGGAAGGGTATATTGTTTGGCAATCATTGGCTGGTGGAATCGATGACATATCAAATGTCTTACATTATGCTCCAGATCCTTCCTTAACTAAGCGGTAGTCATTTAAATCGACTTCGGTTAGGTTTTTGCTGAATTACGTTTTCTTCATAGGTTCAACTCGTTCGTTGTAAGGACAATGGAGAATCTTGGACAAAGACTTGGTTGGGATTGTCACGAAGGCGAAGGTGAACGGAATTTTCCTTCCTTATGTTCCAGTGTGCGCTTAGAGTCTGGTAATTAAAATATTTGACCTTAATCCCTTTTTGGGACACGTCCCGCATACGACTTCCAGTCAGAATTGTTGTAGCGTATTCAGTGCGGTGTTTGACCTTTACAAAGACTAGCGGTGTTTAGTGTTTGTATCCTCACAAACGAGTCTGAAACTAGTAACCGACTATCGGAGGTACGAACGGCTTGGTTGGTGTGAGCGGATTCCGGATATGATCCCCGGATCATGCGACAGTGCTTTACTTGTCACTACATCGCCTCCGCCCAGTTTTTCGCTTAGCATTCCTATTTTACGCTTAAATAAGCGTTTAATTCCTGTAGTTTTAAATAGGGTGTATGAGAAACGATAACCACTGCGCGATATATACCTACATTCAATTCTAGATTTTTGTTGATGAAAGAAATGTTTTAGATTCTCAGCGTGCTATTCTACGATCTGTTGTACATGGACGTCTAATGAGGGCCGGACACGANTACGCCATTCATGACGTAAGTCTATCTGAACGTTCATTTTTGTATATTCCATGCCTTCCCAGGTTGGCCCTTGCCACGGTCATCTGTCCCTCTTGAGACAAAAATTGTGCAATTGCCTTATGCGGGGTAGCACTGTATGTTTCCTTACCTGATGCCTGTTTCATGATCAGTACGTCATTGTTTATTCACAATGATCACAATGCCAAAATATCACATGGAGTAGAATAGGACACTTATCAAGGTTGCACTTACCGCAAACAGAGCTTTGCTCAGCCCACATATGCTCTGGTAGCCTGAAATCGTTAGGAATTGGCCAAAAATGAGCAACGGTCTGGCTGTTAAGGTGAAAAACGTCAATTTGCAGTAAGCGTAGAGTTTTCTATATGGTAGTATTAACAGAAGTAGATAGCCCGGCTTGGCATTTACCTAGAAACCAGGAAAAGGCCGGGATAAGCAGTAGGCTGAGGAACGAGGACGTCTGGCAGGGGAAGATCTGGAATCGTTGTAAGCTGGGGGTTTTTTGAGATTGGGAAAAACTGGGGCTAACATAAACTCGCAATTAGACACTAGCGTGGTTCAAATGTGAGTGGCGAAAGTGTTTCGGTGAGAAGAGTCAAGAGAATCCAGTGGCTGTCCTCGTACTAGTGATTTGGAAAGTGAATGAGTAATGAATACCGGCAGTGAATACCGGCAGTGATCCAAAGAAATTTGATTACAAGAGCAACAAAATAGCTAACGTTGTGGAGCTTGCAACCAATCATAGAGGTCTGTGGCTCTCGCAGTTGCATATCGACTCGATCATCAATAGCTCTCGAAAGGTAGCTGCTGGGATTTATTGAAATTGCTGGTTTACCCAGTTTATCTGATTCACGAGAAAATTTTGGATAGTTTTGTAGCAATCATTCGCAAATGTCACTTGCATGGATGTGATTTCAGGGAAAAGCTCGCGCACAAGATCACATGCTGTTCTTCTATGGCGCAAGCACTAGTAAGACAGGTCAAGCATTCCTTTGGCAGTATTTCAAGGAGAATATGGCTTACCTTGTTGAGAAGTTCGGTGGAGTAGGATCCGGTCTATTCCAGGTATATTTGGATAATTGTATTGTCATATTCGCCTAATATAGTTCTTCGTAAACGTTTTTTGTTGACACCCATGTATGCACGTTTTTCAGAGGTGTTTGAAATTGTCTATTGAGCGGCAATGCACTGAAGAGTTTGCTCAAGAAGTAGAGAAATTCTTCTGCCATAGTCTCTCTCCACAAGACTTGAAGACGTTGGATCGCCCGATAAGACAGGCAAGCAGTTGCTGCAACACTTTTTAAATCATGTTTCTGTCCAGCAGATGTATCATTTGTTCCATGTTTAAGGCTACGGAGGCTGTTCGTCTGAACCAGAAGTTGTTGAAGTCGAATTTGGAGGATATTCAACAGTTCCTCAGTAAAGAAGGACTATAGTCAAGACTTTCCCTTTTCGCATCATGCTGTACTTTTGTGGTATTATGGGTATTGCATTTCTTCGCTTCTGTCCTAATTCAATAAACTTTTACGAAGTTAAAAAACTCGAAGCAATTTCCTCTGGCCTCTATCAGACGCCCCCCAGCTAATCGAGTCATTGTCAAAAGCTGTGGCAGTTTGCAGACAGGTTGAAATTGTCTGGTTGTCGACATCCTCTCTGCTTTAAGTTACTTGGGTATGTTTCACTGGCTTTGCTCGTTCAGTACTAGGTGCAGTCCCAATAGCTCTTCAGGTGAATGGAGCGTTTAGAGAATACCTTCGTATAGTCGTAGGTGGATGCGATCGTTGCGTAAAATCGCGCCGGTTTTTACCTTCAGGATCAGTTTTGATGTGTAAGTATTGTCAAAGATCAATTTCTAGTATCACCTCACTTGTCACCGCCAGTTGCTTGGAAATAAAGGCTTCCACACCAACGAGTCAAAACTTACAAACCAAGACTGTTCCTGAAGGTAAAAACCGACGCAATAAAATAAAATAAAATAACGGCTAATACAATAAAGGCAGAACCCTTATAGGAGTCTTGAAAAAATTACATCAAGGCCATTTTTTTACGAGGATTGGTTATCCAGCCACACTCAGTAGAATGGTTAAAAATGGTTCAGAATGAACCAAACATTGGCCCAGACTTTACACGGAGTCATCAGCTTTTGTTGAAATGAAAATGGCCACGGTCCATATATCAAAACTCTCTTAACGAAAATTACTGCTCACAACAGCCTCGAAAAAGATTCCCTTGCGCTTGTTAGGTCTCAAAACCAGTGAATTTCTTCAGTGTACCTTGCCAATGGTCTCCATCTGACGTTAGTGTTTCTATTTTCCAAAGTCAACCTGCATATTCAAAACGATTTTTCAGGCAAAGTGGCTTTTATCATTCGTTTACTGGCTGCTAAGGCGGTAAAAAGTTGATTCATGATCGAACGATGGCCAAGTTGCGCTTTATCACCGTTGTCGACACCTGATAAGACTGTTCTGGCTACTGGTTTTCCTATTCCTTTTTTCATTGACTTATATTCGTTCGGAAAAATATCCGCTGTGTTGACCTCTAGTGTACCAATTTATGCACAAAACGGCTTGATTATTTTCGGAAGGTTTTCCCGACTCTCTCACCCCATTCAGAGTGAACGGTGAGTGGTGAGTGTAATAAAGTCTTTGGCATTGATTAATCCCATCTTTTGGGATACGCTCCGCACTCAACTTCCATTTACAATTGTAAAGACGCTTTTGAATGCGTATGGGGCCTATACAATAACTTGTGGTGACCACCCGATGCACAAGTCAACGCTTTCATTCCAACAAATGATCTGGTACCGTCTAACCGAAAGACCATCTCCTATGATAGCACTCTTACATCTTTATCTTGGCTGCTATTCTTGATTAGGACTTTGAGACTGAGCAAAAGTAGATCTGGGATTCTAAGCATTGACCATGCACGTGTGATAGTGCGCCACTTGCCCATAAGACCCCGTCATCATTCAGACGACTCCTTGAGAACAGTCGCTCTTCTCAAGTGGGTTCTGAATATGCTTATGTTGACATTCCATAAATCCATTTTGAGTGAAACGTTATGTATCAATCGTTCTGACTTTCTGGGGACTTTCTTGGGATACAGAGCAGTAGGAAAAATCTTAGAACTTCTACCGCTATCGTAAAGCCACAACCTGCTATTATTAGACATTATTAGGTATTAGGGTGTCCTAAAAGAAAATCCAGTCGGTTTTTTCAACACAAAATATCTACAACAATAATCCTAGATCAGTGATCAAGATAGTGCCCTTCTTGGCCTTAATCTCCCCATCAACCGGATTGAGCCATTCCTCCAATATGAAGAGAGGCGTTGCGCAACCCATTCATCTACCACCTACTTGACTTCTCGACAGTTGGTGAATTTTTTCCCTTTAGTGTAGGCTCATGAGCTTCTAAAGTATGACAGTCATATGCGTCGAGGTCAGATGAATATGGGGGAATGGGATAGCCAGTTTATACCAAGTCTTTCCAGCTCTCTATCGACGTCCTCGG